ACGGAGCAGAGCCTGGCCGTGAACTCTTGACCGGGGAGATTCCTTCCCACAGCGGAGCCGCTCGGTCTTAACCGGAACAGCAACACAGAGCCGGAGGTGGCCTGTGACGGCGGGGACAGATGGCAGTCCAGATCAGTGAACTCGGGGGAGGGGCCACAGCTTTCTTTATCCTGCCTGGTAGCCAGCAGGCTGGCAGAACCACAGCCCTGCGCCCTCCGCCCGTTAGGAATAAATCCATCATGACTATCCCCTTGCTGGGTCCCTCCTAGACATCAGGACTTAACCTGCCAGCAAACAGGATAGCACCAGCCATGCCTGTGGGGCGCGTTCAACACAGCCTCCGTCAGCTTCCACTCTGGACGCCCCAAGAGGCGTGTGTGCTGTCAGACGGGCTCAGGTTCAAATCCAGGCTCTGCTCCTTAGGCTTTGTGACCTCAGGCCCGCTAGGTGGCCTCCTCTAGCCTCGGCTGTAAAGGAGGGGAGGGAGGCCCTTCTCCGGCGTCCGGAGCAGAGACATCACGCCTCGCAGTCCTGCTCCGGCACACAGGCCCTAAACAGAGATGCGAGGCTCCTGGCCCTCCCGGCGTGGTGGGAAGCCATAACCGGAGATCAGAGGCCCCTGGGCTGCGGGGGTCGCCAGGGGGAGTTCCGGCCTGCCACACCCACCTTTTCTCTCCCTTGTGGATTGAAAATACAGCTCCAAATTCTGACTTGCTCCCGTCGAGAGGCACGGCCTGTGTTCCCCTTCCCGTCCCCGAAACCCAGACAGGTTTCTGGCAGGGTGGTGGTGGAGGTGACACTTTGGGTCTTCCGAAGCTGCGTCCTGAAAGGCCACCGGGCCTCCGCTTCTCGTCTGGAGCCCCGCGCTGGAGCCCAGGATGTTCCCGTGAGCGCCCCACTGCTCTGAGGCCACGGAGCCGGGAGGAAGCTCAAACTGGTCCACAGGCGAAGCGCACCTGGAGAGCCTGAGAGCTCGTCCGGAGGAGCGTCCAAACCGACCCCGATGGTGGGAGCCCAAGCTAAGGCCGTTTCATCCGACAGTTCACAGCACAGCGGGTGCCAGGGTCCCTGCCCCCTCCCGGGACTGGACCCGACACACACATATGGTCCCCCCACCTGACAACTCCCGGGCTGGCTGGACCACGCTGGTTCCAATAGGTAGGGAGGAGACAGGAGGAAGGGTTCAGGAGGCAGTGACAAGCAGCCGTGCCAGGGGCTGTTAAGGCCAGAAAAGACAGCTGTCTGGTGCCTGCAGATGCAGCTTTCATGGGTCTGGAGTCACAGCTCTGCCTCCCGCCCACCCCACTCCCATCACAATTACTAAGAAGTAATTTCACATTCGCCGTTTGGTGCCTTAACAGTGCATTTTCCTCACACTCGAGGATTTGGCTAGAGAAGGCAGATTTAGAAAAGAAAATTAAATGCTGTCATACCTGCCTTCCCCAGGTTGCCCAGCCACGCTCTGGGGGCCGCCCCTGGGGCTGTGGCCTGTGAGGTTCCTGGACCACCTGGCCAACACTGACCTTCTGAGGAGTTTTCATCCTCCCAGAAGATGGTCTGACTTGGCTTCCTGCTCACAGTGCCTCGGGGGCCCACTGCAGACTTCCCCAACCAGCCCCGGGGCGCCTGCCCCTGTGGCCACCATACTCTTTCCACAACTCTATCCACTGACTGATTGAGGGTCCCTTGGACACCAAGGAGAGCAAACCAGTCAGTCCTAAAGGAAACCAACCCTGAATAGTTCCTGGAAGGACTGATGCTGAAGCTGAAGCTCCAAAACATTGGCCAAGAGCCGATTTATTGGAAAAGGCTCTGACTCTGGGAAAGACTGAAAATGGGAGGAGAAGTGGGGAGACAGAGGATGAGACGATTAGGTAGCATCACTGACTCAGTGGACATGAGTTTGAGCAAACTCTGGGAGACAGTGAAGGACAGGAAAGCCTGGTGTGCCGCAGTGCACGAGGTTACAGTCGGACACGACTGTGACAAAAACAGTTAACGAGATGAAGGACCCATCAAGCTCCCATTCTGTGCCTCCGCAGTATCAGTAACCCCACTGAACAGATGAGAAGACTGAGGCCCAGAGACAGAACCCACCTCGCAGCCGCTTCAGAGCGTGGAACCTGGAGTGGGGTGGCCAGGTTCAAACTGCAGGGCTGGCCTCTGAGCTGTGTGCCCTGGCACGAGTTACCTAAGGCCTCTGTGCCGTGACTCTCCCAGCGGCAGGTGGGGCGAAGGGCCACCCCCGTCACCCTGCAGCCCCGGTCGGCCTCCTTCCTGGGGCCCTCACACCAGCCCAGCAGCAGTGGCTCAGATCTGAGCCAGGCACGAGCCAAGGGACGGCTCCCCCTGCCCTTTGCAAAAGGCCCCTTCTCGGTGGATCCCCACCTTCCCTCCAGCGAGCGTTTCAAGCCGGAGCCGCCCAGGTACAGAGCCTGTCCTGCGCGAGGCCCCGCCTGGAACCAGACACACAGCAGTGCTGGCCACCCACCAGGCTGCCGCTGCCTCCCACCGGCCGTGCCCCTCGCCCAGCAGGCAACGTAGGTACGAGCGTCTCCCCAGGGGCATGTCTTCCATGCCCGACATCAGCCCATCCGGGAGAGAGCAGGGAGGACTTCTGACTCAAGTCCAGGGTCACACGGGGCCTCTGGTCCCCTCCTGCGAAGCGCTGGCCTTGGGAAGGCTTCTCGGAGGATGCAGGGTCCGGCAAGGTCCACTCTGGGAGGGCACGGGGAGGACTTGTGATACAAGTCAGGGTGTCACATGGGGCCTCTGGTCCCTTACCAACCATCTCTTCCCAACCACAGGTCAAATTAGTCATCTGTGGAAACCAGGGACCCATGCTGGGGTCCTCCCTCTTGCCAGGACTCTGGAGTGACCGATGCTCTCTGGAGCAGCTGCTGAGGGCCCTGGCTCTGAGCACTCAGGGCGGGCCCCTGGGTGATGCACGTCCAGGGCCCCCTGGAGCCCTCTCGGAAAGCCCGTGTCCTCTGGGGATGAGCACGCTCGATGGACCAGGCCCCACCAGCGAGTGACCCTGGAATTCAGGTCACTCCCTAATAGAACCAGGCAGCCCTGCCCACCGCCCCACACTCAGAACACTTCAGAACCAAAGGAAAGAGTCTGAAGGCTCAGCTCTGCAAGTCATAAAAGCCTTAATTAAGTAAAGATTCCTGGATCTCTTTTTTAATCTTTCAATAAAACTTCAGTAAAGACTTGGGCGGAGGGGGCCGAGGGAGCAGGGAAACCACAGTCGCTATGAGATCACAGGAGAAACACTTCAGGGCTTGCCTCGCTTCCCACAAGAGCAGCCTCTAATAAACGCAGGCCAACCCGACGCAGGGCTTCTCCCACGTGCAAAAATAACTGTGTGGATCCAGGCTCGGCAGGAGCCCAAAGCTCAGCAGCAACGCTCACAAGAGGTGGAGGTCGTGTCGGAGGGCTGTGTAGGCAGAAGAGAGCTGTCAGCTCCCTGCTCTGTCCATCCCTGGGGGACCACTGAGCCCTGGACCCTCGGCTCCCTTACCCACCCACACGCACCACCCCGCCCCCCGCCCCAGATAAAGGTGCTTGCTCCAACCATGGAGACTTTGCAGAAGTCGGTGCTCCCTGCGGCCTCCCAGAGTGGACCTTGCTGCACCACGCCTCCCCCGAGAAGCCCTTCACAATCCCCGCACTTCGCAGGAAGGGACCAGAGGCCCCGTGGGACATCTGGACTTGGAGACACGCTGTGATTCTGGGACACATCGGCGGATCCTTCCAGAAAACGGGAGCACAACTAGGCAGCTGGTGTGTTCCAAGTTCGTGGTCTTTGACTGATGACCTTTCAGCGAATCTGTCCTAGGAAACTCACACACGTGGATAAAGGGTTTCATGCCAGGGTGTCGATTTGGTGACTGATGTCAGTACAATTGTTCATAATGAAATACGAGCTTCCTTCCAAGAATACAAACGATGGGAAAACAATAAAGAAATGACAGTTCTCCAGATGTGCACACTCCCAGTCACAAGATAAATCAGCCACAGGCATGAAACGTACAGTGTGGGGAATACAGTCAGTAATTACATAACGTCTTCGTATGGTGTCAGGTCACATCTGGATTTATCACAGTGATGATTCTGACATGTATAGAAATATCAAATCTCTGTGTTGTATAACAGGAACTAACACTGTGTTGTAGGTCAATTATATTGATACTTCAAAAACAAACTCGTAGAGAAAGAGAACAGATTTGTGGTTACCAGAGGCAGAACAGTGTGGAGAGGGGGCGTTGGATGAAGATAGTCAAAACGTACAAACTTCTAGTTGTAAATAAATAAGTACCATGGATATAAAGTATAACGTGATAAATACAGTTAACACTGCTGTGTGTTACATACAAAAGTTGTCCAGAGTTAAATCCTAAGAGTTCTCACCACCAGAAAAAAGAAGAGCCTTTTTTTTCCCCTAGAGTAGCCTGCCAGGCTCCTCTGTCCATGGAATTCTCCAGGCAAGAATGCTGGAACGGATTGCCATTTCTTTCTCCAGGGGAACTTCCCGACCCAAGGATTGAAACCATGTCTTCTGTGTCGCCTCTGTTGGCAGGCAGATCCTTTTACCACTGAGTCACCTGGGAAGCCCTAAGAGTTCTCATCACAATGGGAAAAAAGGGGTTTTTACCCTATTCCTTTAATGTTGTCTCTATATACAAGATGATGGATGTTCGCTAAACCTATCGCGGTCATCCTTTCCAGAAGGATGTCAGACAGACTGTCAGGCTGTATAGCTTAAGCTTACACAGTGCTGTGTGTCATTACATCTCAATAAAACTGGAAGAAAAAACTTTAATAAAGCTCTAGAACAACAACACAAGAAGTGATAGTTCAGTCACGGTCGTTTCCAAACGATTTCCAGTGATGGAGGAAAATGCTGACAGGATAATGGTAAGTGTGCAAAGAATTCCAAACCATATCACAGGGTTCTAATCTTTGCTCAGAAAGGAAATGGTCATTAACGGGGCCAGTGGCGCAGTGGATAACGCATATGACTACGGATCTGAAAGGGAATGATCAAAAGGTTGGACACTGTTATCTCTGAAGGATTATAGGTAATTTCAAGCTTCTTCTTTCTTAGACATTTCCTCTCCCAAGGTCTAAAATGAGCATGCGTTACATCCTTAAATCAACTGTAACATGAGTCTGGATTTTCTGCCATTGGTTGATTGTTGGTGTTTAATAAACTACACAGTTTGGTCAATTCAGGGCTCCGGAGGTCTGTGATTTCAGGCCCCCCGCCCAGTTAGGGAGCAGGACCACGCAGAGGAGCCCCCCACTGCCCTGGCAGGGGTCTGCCCCAAGAGGAGACAGAAGTCCCTGCAGGCTGTTTTTGTTGATTAGTTGCTCAGTCATGTCCGACTCTTTAAGGCCCCATGAACTGTAGCCCCCCAGGCTCCTCTGTCCATGGCATTTCCCAGGCAAAAATACTGGAGCGGGTTGCCATTTCCTCCTCCAGAGGAGCTTCCTGGCCCAGGGATCAAACCCGAGTCTCCTACTTGGCAGGCGGATTCTTTACCAGTGGGCCCCCAGGGAAGTCCCGCTGCGGGGTAACCAGTGGATTAACGGAGGCAGAGCGGTGCGAGGAGAGGAAGAGTTTCCCAGCCGCCATCTGGTCCTTCTGCAGGAGATCCGTCCAGGCCTGCGGGTCCGGGAGCGCCCTCGGGGAGGCCCAGGCCTGCTGTGCCTGGCCCCGCCCGCCCGTGCGCTTCCTCCCGCGGCTCTGCCATCCTGAGCCTCCCAGCCGTTCCCTGGGCCTCCAGCTCCCTCCAGCCCCTGCCCACTGTGCCCTTCGCCACCCCGCCTGTCCCCCTGCCTAAGCTCAGCCCCTGGCCCCCTTCCCTCTGTTCCAGCAGCACCACCCGCTTTTCACAACAGCTCTGCCGAGATAAAATTCACACACCGTACGATGTGTCTGTTTCAAAGGTACGCGTCAATGATTCCTGGTGCATTCACAGAGCTGCACAAACATCGCCATATTCGTTTAGAATGTTTTCATCATCTGGAAAGGAAACCCCATACCTTTCCTTCCCAACTCCCCATCCCTCCACCCCTCCATCTCCTCTCCCTGGCCCCTGGCTACCACATTCCTTCTTTCTGTCTCTACGGGTTCGCCTATTCTAGACATTTCACACAAACAGGACCGCACAATATGTGTTCTTCCCTGTTTGCTGATGCTGTTCTTCGCTCAGCATCATGTTTCCAAAGTTCATCCATTTCACAGGGTGTATCAGCACCTCCTTTTCTTTTTAACGGCCAAATAATATTCCACTGTATGGGCTTGCTCATGCTCAATCACCAAGTCGCGTCCTACTCTTTGTGGCCTCGTGGACTGCAGCTTCACCAGGTTCCTCTGTCTGCGGGATTTCTGTGGCCAAAGTACTGGAGTTTCAGCTTCAGCATCAGTCCTTCCAATGAATATTCAGGGTTGATTTCCTTTATGATTGACTGATTTGATCTCCTTGCAGTTCAAGGGACTCTCATGAGTCTTCTCCAACACCATAGTTCAAACACAATTTATAAAGCAACTGAGCACATACATGTACATATATCTGGGGGTGTGACTGCTGAGTCAGGAGGCACCGCCCTTCTGTCTGTCCCTCAAGCCTGCCAAGCCCATTCCCAGTCAGACCCTCTGCATGCAGCCTCCTAAGCCATCCATGACAGCCCTGCCCTCTGAAGATCATTATTAGTTTGATTTTCCCCATGGCATTTACCAGCATCGGAACCTACTTCGCTAGTTTTTGGTTCTGTGTCCTTTCCCCCGCTAAAATACAAGCTCCACAAAGGCAGGGATTTGTATGACTCTGTCCTGACTGAACCTCTAATCACCTAGCACAGGGCTGGACACTCCCAGGATACTCAGTGCGAATGGCTTAAGGTAATTTAATTCCCTGCATCTCCATAGAGTGCCTCCTCTTCCAGGAAGCCTGCCCTGATCCCATTCCAGCAGCCCTGGTCAGTGTTTACCTGTCCATATGCTCAGAGGACTCAGGGCGGCTGGAGGGCCGGGTCTACTAGGTCTTCTTTCTCTGGCTCACACCTGCCCACGTGGGCCTGGCGCACAGCAGGTGCAGGAGAACTTTGCCAAATCACAGATCCCCCTGATACAAGTCCACCTGGATGGTTCACACCCCTCAGGGAATCAGTGGTTCTCACTCATCCTTGATTCAATTCACCCACTCGCACATCTGAAATTGGGAGGACGCTTGAAGGTAAACCCTGGCCACACGGGAAGTCATGACCAATTCTCTGATTCCGCAGGTCACACTGCCTGAGAGAGGGCCCGCCATGGAGGAGTGCAGCAGACAGCCCAGGAGAGAGCTCACGGAAATGCAGATGCTGGGCCCTCCTCCTGGCCCACTCCCACTCGGGACATCTAAGTGATGGGCCTTTATCACAAGTTCCCCCCAGGAGAGTCTGATGCACACCAGTCTGGAAAGAAGTCTTCAAGGACATCAGTTCAGCAACCCAGGGAAAAACAGAGAAGAAGGAAGGTGATACCATTTGCCCATCAGAACCCGGGGACATCTGGTCAACCCTAGGGGTGGGTGGCTGGCATGCCAGCACGAAGGAGAAAGTCAATGTGATTAGATGTTTAATTGGGCGCCTCCGTGAGCTGGCGCATTTGCCCACGTAAGTAATTATGATTTATTAAACAGCATCCTGCTTATTAAAGCCTTCTTTCCTCTCTCTGACAAATCAGTGGAGCATTGCTTTGTTTGGGAAAATCATTCCTTTTTTAAGAAGCTGTGTGGGTGCCGCTTAATTAATCATTTACTTCCTATAGCAACATGGAAACAAACTAAATGTGCAGACTGCTGAAATCATTTCTTGAAAGTTTCACACAAGCTCACCCCCTGAATTCCTTCCCACCACACAGGACCCAGCAAGCTCCTGGAGACGGACTAAAAACAGCAGCCTCTGAGCGCCAGCCCAGGGAGACCACCCCAAGTGCTGGACCCAGCGTAGGGCAGGGGTCTCCAACCTCTAGGATCTAATGCCTGGTGATGAGAGGTAGAGCTGACGCAATAATAGAAATAAAGTGCAAGATAAATGGGAATGTGCTCGAATCATTCTGAAACCATTCCTCAACCCCTGGTCCGTGGAAAAACTGTCTACCTCGAAATCAGTCCCTGGTACCAAAAAGGTCAGGGACCGCTAGCATAGGGCACCTCCCTGCTGAGTCAGGCAGCAGCCCCGGCCCTTGTGTGAATCGATCCCACCCTCACCAAAGTGAACACTGAGTGGATATTTTCAGAAAATCGGTTTGAAGAGGGCACCAACATCTTGGCCTGCCTGGGACCCACCCACGGCCCCTCTCAAATTTGAACCAGTGAACCAGTGAAGTTGCTTAGTCATGTCCGACTCTTTGCCATCCCATGGACTGTAGCCTACCAGGCTCCTCCATCCATGGAATTTTCCAGGCAAGAGTACTGGAGTGGGTTGCCATTTCCTTCTCCAGGGGAATCTTCCCAACCCGGGGATGGAACCCGGGTCTCCCGCGTTGCAGACAGACGCTTTACCATCTGAGCCACCAGGGAAGCCCAGGAATTGGGAAAACCGGCCCTTTCCTCTCCTTCCGCCTCTCCCCCGCCCACCTATCTCTTTATCCTAATTATTCCCTGAGGTCCTACTGTGCACCAAGCTTTAACTTAGGGTGCAGAGGGGAACCAGCGGCCCCTGTTCCAACACTGCTCCCTCCAGTGGTGGGAGGTCACGCCAACACCGGTAACGTACCACACAGCAGGAGCGTGGCCCGGGCCCCTGTCATCCCTGAGCCTCAGTCTGTGCTTCAGGAGCCGGGAAAACAGCCTGGAGCTGGCCTCCTCACTCCAGGGCAGCCTCCCCACATCAGGCCTGCAGCCAAGCCAGGGCTTGATGACAAAGCCAGGCTCGCAATCTGCAGCCTCAGCCCAGCCCCGAGGACACGAAGCCCGCTGGGCTAGGTGGCCAGCACTGGCTGCTGTTCAAACGCTGCAAGCGCTTTTCACGGAACTAGTACTCAAATCCAGTCCACAAATCGGCTTCTTCCACCGAGTGAGCCAAACACTCCTTGATTTTCACACGGACAGGGAGGCATGACCCTGAGGCTTCATGGTGGCCCCCGAGGGGCTGGGTTAGGGTCCCATCTGCCCTGTAGGGTCTCCTGCATTTCTTCCAAATCCTCAACCCAGGACAGCTGCAGATTAGAATCACCCACGTGCCAGGCCTCCACCCACTAAACCAGGCTCCCTGGGGGAGCTGCCCCGGCTGCAGATACCGTAAAGGCAAGCTGGGTACCCCCAGATCTGCAGGGCTTCAGCACCCAGCTCTCCCATGAGGCATCTCAACCTCAACATGGCCCCAAAGCCTAAAACCATCTCTGCAGTCAGGAAGTGACGAATTCTGATGGAGACAGAAACAGAGAGACAGGCGGATAAAAAGATAAACCAAATACGGGTTGCCTGGTGTAATTAAAGAAACAGGTGGAGACTAGAAAGATGAGTTTAAGGAGACCGGCGGGAAGTCTTCGCTGCAAAGATCCTCAAAGTGAGACGGAGCCAACACACATTCAGGGCAGAGGGCATCACGGGGATGCGGGCAATACGGCGGGAATGGCCGGACACATCCAGGAAGAACACAGCTCTGCAGAGGGCAGAGGGCAGGGCGAGGGGAGGCCAGGCGCGGAGTCTGGATGTTACGTCAAGAGCGCAGGGAAGCCCCATGGTGGTGCTCTGCACATGAACACGGCTAGATGGATACGTATTAGAAACGAGCCACGACCGTCCCATCAGGATTCGTCGACACAACATTAAAGGGGTGCCTTCTTGACCTTTACCATCAATTCCCACCAGCTTCAGTGAAAACACACACGGAGTATGGAATCCACCATGAGTTAAATACAGAAAAGGTACCAAGTCATTTTTAAATTCCCCAGTCTCCTATTTCCACCCCATATGCCGAGCAGAAATAGAGAAAAAGAATATGCAGTGTTTAACAAGGCATAGCATTTTAAATGTCTTTAATCTCTTGAGAGAGGAATTATTTCAGTGGGCTGAAGCTGATATCTATAATGAATATCTACAAAAAGTTGAACCCAGTAAAAAAACTTTTGGGGGCTAAAAATTTTCATATGATTTCTAGGTAATTAACAGTTTGGTCTGCACCATGGTAAAAATAGGCTTTCACCTGAAACTAATTTCCTTTTTGGCTACCAAGGCCATTCTTTGAGTGATGGAGGAGAAGAAAGCTATTAGAATCCATTTACGCAGCGCAAATAGGAGGTGACACCCGGCCGAATGGGAGGTGAGCCGGCCAAGTGCAATTAGGAACACAGAATCTCCTTGTTTGGGTTTCTCCCACTGTTTAACCCAATCTTCTACTTCAGCCAAGCCCGACGGCTCACAAACCTCCAAAGGTTTGTGCTTCTGCAGGGGGCCGGCCCCTGACTCCTGGCCAGTCCAGAGGCTCAGCCCACCCTGGCCATCCGCTGGTCTGCGGGGAGTCCCACATCATGCGTGCGATGCTCCACCCAAGGTCACTAATCAGCAGGAGGAGCAGGCCTGGGACCTTGTGCCCCACGGGCGATGTGACCCCGGCCTGGCTTAGCTCCCTCTCCGGTCTCTCAGCCTTCCCCCAGACCCCTCAACCATCACCATCCTAAACCTGAGCCTCTATTGAAGACCCCAGCCTCCCAGGGGAAGTTGCTCACCAGCCACCCCCCTCAAGGCTTCCTTTCCTGCTCATTCCAAACACCAGGTGTTTTCCTGTTCATCCATTTGTGCACTGTTGTCATGTACAAGTGCATGCGTGTGCTAAGCTGCTTCAGTCGTGTACGATTCTTTGAGACCCTGTGGTCCGTAGCCTGCCAGGCTCCACTGTCCATGGGATTCTCCAGGCAAGAATACTGGAGTGGGTCACCATGCCCTCCTCCAGGGGATCTCCCTGGCCCCGGGATCAAGCCTGCATCTCTTACATCTCCTGCATTGGCAGGCAGGTTCTTTACCACCAGTGCCACTTGGGAAGCCCTGTCACATACACACTCACACACAAAACTAAGTAAGTAACCTGAGAGAAGTCCCAGGCCTTGGGCATTTCTTAATTCTGATGGAGACAGAGAAACAGAGAGACAGGCGGATAAAAAGATAAACCAAATACGGGTTGCCTGGTGTAATTAAAGAAACAGGTGGAGACTAGAAAGATGAGTTTAAGGAGACCGGCGGGAAGTCTTCGCTGCAAAGATCCTCAAAGTGAGACGGAGCCAACACACATTCAGGGCAGAGGGCATCACAGGGATGCGGGCAATACGGCGGGAATGGCCGGACACATCCAGGAAGAACACAGCTCTGCAGAGGGCAGAGGGCAGGGCGAGGGGAGGCCAGGCGAGGAGTCTGGATGTTACGTCAAGAGCGCAGGGAAGCCCCATGGTGGTGCTCTGCACATGAACACGGCTAGATGGATACGTATTAGAAACGAGCCACGACAGTCCCATCAGGATTCGTCGACACAACATTAAAGGGGTGCCTTCTTGACCTTTACCATCAATTCCCACCAGCTTCAGTGAAAACACACACGGAGTATGGAATCCACCATGAGTTAAATACAGAAAAGGTACCAAGTCATTTTTAAATTCCCCAGTCTCCTATTTCCACCCCATATGCCGAGCAGAAATAGAGAAAAAGAATATGCAGTGTTTAACAAGGCATAGCATTTTAAATGTCTTTAATCTCTTGAGAGAGGAATTATTTCAGTGGGCTGAAGCTGATATCTATAATGAATATCTACAAAAAGTTGAACCCAGTAAAAAAACTTTTGGGGGCTAAAAATTTTCATGTGATTTCTAGGTAATTAACAGTTTGGTCTGCACCATGGTAAAAATAGGCTTTCACCTGAAACTAATTTCCTTTTTGGCTACCAAGGCCATTCTTTGAGTGATGGAGGAGAAGAAAGCTATTAGAATCCATTTACGCAGCGCAAATAGGAGGTGACACCCGGCCGAATGGGAGGTGAGCCGGCCAAGTGCAATTAGGAACACAGAATCTCCTTGTTTGGGTTTCTCCCACTGTTTAACCCAATCTTCTACTTCAGCCAAGCCCGACGGCTCACAAACCTCCAAAGGTTTGTGCTTCTGCAGGGGGCCGGCCCCTGACTCCTGGCCAGTCCAGAGGCTCAGCCCACCCTGGCCATCCGCTGGTCTGCGGGGAGTCCCACATCATGCGTGCGATGCTCCACCCAAGGTCACTAATCAGCAGGAGGAGCAGGCCTGGGACCTTGTGCCCCACGGGCGATGTGACCCCGGCCTGGCTTAGCTCCCTCTCCGGGTCTCAGCCTTCCCCCAGACCCCTCAACCATCACCATCCTAAACCTGAGCCTCTATTGAAGACCCCAGCCTCCCAGGGGAAGTTGCTCACCAGCCACCCCCCTCAAGGCTTCCTTTCCTGCTCATTCCAAACACCAGGTGTTTTCCTGTTCATCCATTTGTGCACTGTTGTCATGTACAAGTGCATGCGTGTGCTAAGCTGCTTCAGTCGTGTACGATTCTTTGAGACCCTGTGGTCCGTAGCCTGCCAGGCTCCACTGTCCATGGGATTCTCCAGGCAAGAATACTGGAGTGGGTCAACATGCCCTCCTCCAGGGGATCTCCCTGGCCCCGGGATCAAGCCTGCATCTCTTACATCTCCTGCATTGGCAGGCAGGTTCTTTACCACCAGTGCCACTTGGGAAGCCCTGTCACATACACACTCACACACAAAACTAAGTAAGTAACCTGAGAGAAGTCCCAGGCCTTGGGCATTTCTGTCCTGAGTATGGGGGCCACTCCCTTCCACCCACCCAGAAGGGGGATCTGCCTTACATTCGTAAATGTTCAATATTCACCAATTTGTTATCATTTGGAGTTGCCCAGGGGACTTTCCTGGCTGCCCAGTGGTTAGGCCTCCAAGCTTTCACTGCCGAGGGTGCCGGTTCCCTGGTCAGGGAACTAAGATCCTGCAAGCCAGACACCATGGCCAA